GACGGAGCTCCATCCGTATGTACATTGCTGGTACAGCTCCCTTGAGTGCCCTGTAGAGGTGCCGGGAGCCAGAATGTGATGTCACTCCGATCCAGGCACCTCTACAGGACACGTGAGGGAGCTGTAAGCAATGCACGTATGGATGGAGCTCCCTCGCGGCCATAGCCACATCCCATCCCACCACAGGCACCGGGCAGCATATTTTGAATGGCTGCTTGGAGACAGAACTGAAAATGCTGCGCTAGGGGATACAGAGGAGCCTCTCACCTAGAAAAGTGGAAGGCATGTGGGACCCACTGAACACAGGGTCGCGACCCACTTTTGGGTCATGACCCACCAGTTGAGAACCAAGGCTTTAAACCAACCTATCAAAATCTTACTGTTTACAGGGAAAGTTCCTTAGTAATTTCATGCAGGGGCTCACTTTAAGGGCTTGTTCACGCCATGTCTCTTGAGTTGCGTGTTTCTGCACAACACCGCACATGTATGGGGTGAACAAGGCACACAGAAAACAACTGTTGTCAATGTGTCCTGTTCACACCATACATACTGTGCATGTATAGTGGATTGCAGAAACACACAGCTTACCGGACATGGTGTGAACAAGCCCTAAAGGTCAAGGACCAGGACAGATACACTAGCTGGACTGCCAGTTTCAGCTCCGAATGTAGCTGAACATTTTTCCCCCAGAACCCTGAGGTGCGGGTTTCCCGGTCCATATTATTGTGCAGCATTTTCTCTCTTAGTCCCCATTTACGCCACGACAGATGTGTTTCAGCACGGTTTCCACGCAAATTTTAAAAGGGTGTTTTTATTTGCATTTCTGTTGGGAAACACAATTAAAAACGCCCATAAACGTGCTAATCAGCACATTTCCATTAAAATCTGTATGGAATTCATGCTGATCGGCGCGGAAAAAAAAGGCTCAGGGAGCATTTCAGGCGGCAGGCGGTTCGGACCGCGCGTAGCCGCGTGATCGCAGGAACGGTCCCCATAGGAATGTATGGGGTCATTCATGTCGGCGGTCCAGCACGGACAAATCCGCACGCCCGAACCGCCTTGGTGTGAACGGAGCCTAAATCATGCCACTCATCACTAACTGACCCTTTAAGTCAGGCCCCCTTGGGTCCCATATGGGTGCCCCCTGTTCATGCACAGATGCCCTGCTGATCAGAGCAGTATGGAATGGATGTCTCTCGTGTGATATTTGTGTCTGTATAGCTTTTTCCTCCATCTTACAAAGGAGGACAAAACTGAACTTTACATGTGTCCGTTTACATCAGATTACCTCCAATCCGCCGCGATTAGGTCCTCCAGAACTCAGTTTTGTTTTTTGTTCTGGACCTGGCCAGATTTGGGGGTAATCAGATGTAAATGGAGGCAGGTCTGTTTAGATCTAGCTGCCCATAGACTAGCATTGGGCTTCCAATCAGATCCACATGAAAAAACTGACAGGCGGACCTGATCAGACCACCCGTCTGAAAGGGGCCTTAGGGTTTGAGTAGCAAGAAGAAGAACAAAAATGGGTTGAGTTTACAGACAAAACTAAACAAGCTCTGCCAAAGCAAAAAAAAAAAAAAAGGCTTATTTTGAGCTTTTGGCCCAAAGTCTAAAACCGTCAAATTATGTAAACAGCATCATCATCAAACCAGCACCGCAGATGAAACGGGTGTGTGCAGACCTAGACTTTACATAACGGAGAATAGAGAAAACTGCAACCCTTTCTACCCCTTCCGCAAACCTCGGACCTCCCAGACGCTGGTAAATATATCCCCCGAATGGCTAGATCTAATGCAGAATGTTTTCACAGCCAAGCCACAGAGTGAGGAGAGAACACTCGAAGTGTAACTTCGGCCATAACTGTTTTTTATTATAGACTGGATAAGTGTTGGAATCTCTATCAGCTTTTAAAGAAGCACTGCGTCTCCCAGCTCCTAAGAGTGCATAACATTGCCAAATAGTCCAACTATAACTTTAAAGCCAAGTAAAAAAAAATCCGACAACCATCTCTCCTGCGCTGTCCTCCAAACTTTGTCCTGCTGGTCTTATGGGTTTTTTGGCCAGTCATGTGATTTTGTGGGTCTTACTACTGCTGTCCTTACTCCTGGACGGAGCAGCGTTTACCCAATGACAAGTGAGCTCTGTTTAGTTGTACTGTGAGCCCAGGGCTGGCTTGGGGGAGAACAGAAAAGACCCACAAGGTCATGTGAATAACGCAGGTCAACGCACGTGGCGTGAACGAGCCCCTAAAGCATATCTACACCAAAATGTAATAAATAGTAGCTTATGATGTGGTGATGATTTGGTGGCTGCATTCGCTTTCCTTTTTCAGGGTAAGAATATTTCAGCAAGTACAGATCCTGCAAAAAATGCAATGCCCCAAAAAAGTGTCCTTGTCATTTCCTGTGAGCTGAATAGAAAGCACAAAGAACTTTATCATAAAACTAGTCCTATCAAGCCATCAGGTAATGGAGATGAACAAAGGTAGACATGTTTGAAGTCCAGCCACTGTGACAACCAGTGGCATAACAATAGCCATAGCAGCCCATGCAGCTGCTATGGGGCCTGGGGGTGGAAAGAGGCCCCATTAAGGATTGCAGAAGTTTCTGTTGACACTGACCCTGTACCCCCTTTGACATTTCCCATCAAGAAGAGCTGACATAAACTGTACAGGAGACAATGCAGACAGTTCTCCTGCTACCCGACTTTTATTGACTGTAGGGAGGTCGCTGAGGGACCCCATTAAAAATTTGCTATGGGGCCCCATGATCTAAAGTTACTCCTCTGGTGACAACCAATGGCTCCCTCCATACATACAGTGGAGAAATGAGTGTAGATAAGAAGGCACAGGAAGTGAGTTATTCGCAACATTGCAAGGTGAAAATAAAGCCTGAAAAAATAAAGTGAATGCAGCCACCACATCTAAGGACTGGTAAGCTGCAACATATGACAGTTGTTGTTCTTGGGCTTATAGTAGGTACACTTTATAGCCAGAGACATCAATGCAGCTAGGCTTTTCAGAGGGTCATCAATGAATTTACATGAGTTTGGCTTTAAGATGAATGTAAACAGTGACTGCGTTCAAGTACTGGAGCCTGCTATGCGCACTCAGAAGCCGGAAGACGTAGTCAATTGACTAAATCACATTTCCAGCATTAGGGCCGCAGTATAAAGTCCTCCACCAAATTCATGGAACAGTTTTCTTACCATTCCCAATGCATGAGACAAATTCAGGTAGTTCTTCTGGCCAGACTTTTATATTCCGGCTACATATTCATTAGGAAATAGCGTCATATCAGTGATGAGACAAATGGAGGCAAAGGAGACCTCATCCACGTCTCAATTCTGCAACACATCCATATGCACCTTACTAACCGTTACATGAATCTGTGGCAGGCTGTACCAATTTTTGCACGGATGGGAGGCACATTTCTAATGACTGTCTATGAATTCCAGGGACTGTGTGACGTCAGAGGGTTCCAAGGGGGGCAACTGTCAGGCTTCAGGTGACATCTCAGGCCTGACCCTCTAGTATGAGGAAAGCTGGGTAATGATGAACAAGGGGCCAATATAAATCTTTCATGAGCACAATGGTACCATTTTAAAGTCGGGTATACACTGTTATATTTTCTTTGTTTGATCTGTGCGGGCTGAATGAAGAACATATTACAGATTCCTCCATCCACACTGAACAGCATGGATAAACAAATCCCCCTTTGTTTACATGGTATTCTGACAGTGGCCGCCAGCCCGTTTGGTTGAAGATTTTCCAACATGTCCCTTTGGCAAAAGTCGATCTGATAATCGACTTTTGCCGATGGAATAGGGTCACATATAAGCTGGTTGACCAAAATCCTCGGTTAAGGTACCCCAGCCCTATTATCTATACCAGGGTGGCCGCACTGCACTGGAGGAGAGACAGACAGATCACCAGAATAGACACCATAGTGGCGGTCTGCGTCCTTAGATCCGTCCCCTCCTGGGGTGCCCCCCCCCCCCCGTGGAAGGTGGTGTTTGTTGCTTTCATTGGGTGTTTTCGTTATGCTGGGTGACCCCTTTAGAAGATCTCCCTTCTGAGGAAGCTATTAAAGTGAAATGCATTGAAAGATAAACCATCGGCATAGAGACTATTGTTTTATTGGAGGTGGTTCAATCAGGAAAAGCTTGTTTAATATGTGGACATTTAAAAGAGTATAATAAGCTAATTATGTTTTATGGAAAATACTCTGGATGTTATGGTTACCGTTAAAACCCCACTTTAATGTCATGGATGGAATAGGGTCACCAACGGAGTATATTTTGGCCAATTCCTGCTGAATAGGCCTAAATTTACTCTGTGTGTACCCAGCTTAACACTGAAATTATGGCCAGTCATGACAGGTTCTCTTCAAAGTCTCAGCAGGCCATGGCTGTGTCTGTAGCCTGCCTAACACATCATTCTCAGAAGAAGGAGTTCCCAACTAATTCTGTGTACACAAAGCATAGCCCCGCTCACCAACACGACCCACCAACCACGGCATTCCACGTCGCAATTCACGCCCACAGCTGCCTCATATCGGCCATCTTTGTTCTGGGTAGACTAACTCCATCTCACTGTTAATGATAGTGGAACAAAATATAAAACGCCTGATTTATTTAGCAACCAATACCTCAGAAAAACTTCCCACCTACGAAATCATCACTTTGTACAATTAAACAATCAGATAGCCGTAAATAGAAATGTAGGCGCCTGTTCACTCATGAGATTGCCACTGTCTTGTTTTCTGCTAAAGGACAGACGCCATCTTCTAGAAATTTCTCTCGCATTTTAGAAGCGTATCCTGCTTTTATCGCTGACCTGAATAAAAATGGCGTCAGTAGGATCTAGCAGAGGTGACGTAAGGTCTTGGCCCCGCCCTGCAAATGTTGAGTGACGGACGAGTGGGGTCACGTGAGCATTGCTCGGTTGACTTGAGGTCACGTGGTGTGGCAAGGTGACGTAGTGAGCTGCTGAAGAAAACATGGCGGAGGCTGTCGTGCTGGTGTGGCAGAGGGACCCGTGGAATGGCAAGCTGTATCAGGCAGAGCTGCCACACGGATCTACAGTGAGAGAGCTCCTTCCTTCCACCGGGCCGGTGAGTGCTTCTAAACTCTTAATATTTGGGGGCCCATTCGGGTTGCAGCAGGTCATCAGCTACTCAAGTGGACCACCCATGACATATATAATGGAGCCTAGCCATAACAACGGTGTCCCCTCACAGTGTTGTTTTATTATCCGTTGACCCTGTCAGTAGACCTGTTATTTTTCCATTTCCTGTAACACGGTGACAACGCTATCGTGTGTTGAAATAACACGAGTGTTGTCACCATATGGCCAGGGTAGTATTAGACGGACAAGCCTCATACAGGTGAGAGAATTCAACGTTTGTTTTTTGTGTGTGTACATGGGTTTGTTTATATTTTAAAGAGCAGCGTTCGGCCTTTCCCATAGAAGTGAATTACAGCCGCCCGATCACTTTTACATGTAAACAAACATGTACCCCTCGTGTGTGTGTGTGTGTGTGTGTGTGTGTGTGTGTGAGACGGGCTCACCTGGGTCCTGTAGAAGCCTGGGACATCCTTTGCCACCTTCAGGATGGAGGGGAGGGTGCGCCATCTTGGATGAGTGACAGCTCTGTGCTGC